GAAAATAAAAACAAAAAGCAATTGAAAAAAAGCCCACCGGAGATCATATGCCATTTTTTGATATCGCGTTTTATCAAACTCGTGTTGTAATATTCGCAAATTTTGCACCGTGTTCTATGAAAATTGTGTTTTAACAAATATCCTGTTAAACCAAGGCACGCGTGTACGTACAAACACATACGGGAATAAAAGTTAAGCATTTCATTAACTTCAAATTCAAAATCTCTTTCTTTCAGTTTTGCTTCAATCGCTCTGCCGCTCACGCTGCTTCTCCAGAATTTCTGATATGCTTTAAAACATTACGACAATCACATTTAAATCAAGTTCAAGTTCAATCAATCGTCAATTACGGGTAGGCAGCTTCTCTTTGTAAGCACAAAATGTTGGCCCAGACATGGCAAAGTATTACCACATTCTGAAATGACAGTACAAGCTGTCCACAAACAAACCGAGTTAGTTTGGAGCTTAGCAATTTGAATCATGCAATATAACGCGCCTTAGTTAATTAAAAGTGTGCAACGTCTGAAATGTCAACTCTCTCCCCTTGCAACATTTTGCCAGCTGTAACAGGTTTTGTAACCTTTCGTTTTGGCATAATTGCAACATTTCTCGTGGCACGCGGCTCACATATTTGTGCACCAAATTCTAGACAGGCGAACAAGGCATGTTCTCTACCAATTGACATGTTCTGTGCTAATAGCATTACTTCACTGGACCAAACTTACTTCGTATTCGCAGCAACCATATCCAACGTCATTTTAAAATATTTTCAACGGCATTCCCCGTTCTACGTACTTACATCGCGCTGCCTCGACGGCGCTTTGATAGCTACTAAAATATCCCAAGATAGGAACCTGGTAACTACTGCTGCAATAACTAACTGAACAATAATATAGTGATTTAAGATCCAATCAGAAGTAAGTTGAAGTAAGTCGGCAATATCCAAATCAGACACCAAGTACTACGCCAGACACGGTATGGTCCTTCGACCCAAAGAAAGTGGCGAAATTCATAAAAACCCTAAAACTGGGGGTCTAAGAACATGGTCGTGTACAATAGATCTTTTAGGTCGTGGCACGTCTTGCCCAGGTAATTAATTAAATTAATCAAGTCGACAATAATATCCAACTTCTATCAAATTGTTAATTTTAGAACAAATCGTGCCCATGGATTACATAATCATTCTAGAAAGAATCGCTTTTATCCTCTTCCCTCACATTTTGCGTTCCAAATTTGTTAAAAAAAATGGTTTTTACGATTATATTTTTTACACAAAGACCTGTAGGGGTGGCATCCAGTTGGATGCCGTCCCTGGTCTTCGCTTGATTGATATTCTTACGGTAAGTGATAGGAGCTGATATCGCAAGAGATGACATTAGAGAATAATTACCTTGTTTTAGGAAAACTATCGTGTTTTGAGCGTTTTCCGCGCAACCATATACGTTTGCCAACTTTAACACGCATACTACATGAAACTTGTCGACTGACTTATGCGATAATTACTTGACTTGAATCGACGAAAACTGACGGATGCTTAGCTGCTTTTTTACGTATGCCGCACTAAAAGCTCAACTTAAGGCTCAATTTAGATCACAGTTGCGTTAAATTCACTTGTTAAAATTTTTATTGTAGAATTTCAATTAAAAAAAAGCAAAAAAAAAAAAATATTTACGACATTTCCGAGAAATTTCTTCAATTCAAGTTAAATTAATTTTCCGTACTGCTTATGTTGGGATGGATATGTAGCGTTGTAAAACCTCTTTACATTCGTTTCAGATAAAATTTGTGCTTATGAGAGATGCAAGGAAATCGAATCAGGTACTCTTTTCCACTCAAATTTGTTAAGCAATTTCTTTGTTTTATTTAATTATTAAACTTTGTTTCTTTTGTACATTTGCTTTTGTTCTCATTTTCATTTGCATTAAAAACATTTCATTTAAATTTATTATTGCAACATATTTTTTAATAGTACACATGCGTGTTCCTATCAATTCCTCTTCTCAACTTCCTCTTTAATGTCTGCTTGAATTCAATCGTATATCTCATCTTGTTTTATTTACGTACTGACAAATTTATTTATTCCGACTGTAGCGGTCACTGAGTGATAAATATTCTTCTTTTAACTGCTTTTCCATGCATGGTTGGAAATTATTTTAAATGTACACGTTTATCGTATATTGTTTTTATGTATGCAGAGAGATGCAAACTGAAATTTTACACATTTCGCTCATACTCTTTATTTAAGTAAATAGGATTCCGGAACTTAATACCATTTTGTATACAGTCCTACATACACATTGCACATCGTTTAGGAAGAATTTCGTTTACACATACAAACAGAAGAAGATCTAATGAATTGAAAATCTTTTGTAGTAATAAACGATTACTAAGATTACACTGACAGACTCAATCTATCACTCAAAATCGATCATACCAGACACTAACCAACTCCAATTACGTTATTTACTTTTGAACAAGTTAAAATAATGTGGTTAGAGCTTTCTTTACCACTGCCATATAAAAGCTTAACTCTCCTGAAGAATCTGATGTGAGGATGGGTCAGAAATTTAAACTAACAAAGTGAACAAATTTTCAGCATGAAATCCTAAAAACGTTTCGTCATACAAAGGCTCGCTTATGGAAAGTGATCCCATCCCGTCCAAGTTTTCTACATTCGTTTAGCGGACGTAGGTACTATTTTTGTTCGGTTTTTTTGAAAAATATTATTATTTGATATTCCCGAATGAAACTTTTCATGAGAATGCCCTAATCGACCCAAAACATATCAATGCAATACAATGGCCGAACAATAGAATGAAAGGTAAGTTCTCTTACCTACT